TCACACGTGGATTTCCTGCACTCAAAATCATTTGTTTGTCAATCGCCATTTTGTGTTTATTAACTATAATATTAATATTCTTTATGTGTGAAAATCATTACAATTTATGAAGCTACAAAAAATGAACACATTTGGTGAGCAATGGATTAAAGTTATGTACAGATCTTAAAAGATAAGTAAAGGCAAAACTTTTTTCCAATTTGGACGGAGGTGGGTTAGAACCCCTGTCAGGTGTATATTGGTGTCTGTGTCCCCATTAGGAAGAGCTCTTAGACTCCATTTACACTTCACGATTTGGAATTGTGGGCAGAATCTCTGCAATCCTGCCTGCGATTCCAAATTGCGTGACAATTGCAGCACAGCTCATGTTTAGGCGCCATTATCCTTCAAATGCGATGCAATTCTTCCGCAATTGCCGTAAACTGTGCCCTAAAAAATCTCGTGAAGCTTGTTGCCTGAAAAGGAACAGAAGCTTCTTTTTGGGTGACAAACGTGCCTAGGGCAGCCCATACAAGTATAAAGCTGGGCTTTTGCGACGCGCAGGATGTCGTATAAAGCTCTGCAAAACATGAATGGGGCTTAATCATCTTGATCACCAATGTCGTCTGGAATGAAAATGGGGGGTGAACTCAAAATTGTGCATTGCCGCTAGAACAGGAATAGAGATGAGGTCTTCCAATGGGGGCGCTTTATCCCGTGACAACTAAGAGGGGATTTCCCCCACATGGGAAAGATATCCTCATACTTCCTGTTAAAGTATTACTAAACCCACATCATAAAACAACTACAAGTAAACGCTGTGTTATATGCTGTTCATTTTACATCACTATTAGATTCATTTTCTGTATTTTGCAAAAAACCTGGTTGATCCCTCTGTTCTCTATCTCCACCTTCTGTTTATGTCCCCTATTCAGCTATGGATTTTGCAGCTGAAGAGGCTTCTCTGCACATGCTCAGTTTTCAGAGCGTTTTTATGCTGAGCATTTCCTACTACCATATCTGAGTAGCCCGTGTGACTATAGAATCGCACATGTGGGCGTATACACTGTGGTAAACAATCCACTCCCTCTCCCCTCCTCCGTGCCCACTAACCAGCTAAAGACAATGGGGGCGGGATATTGCATATACATTGATGGAGGCTTCACCACGCTCTTATTCTAAGACAGGCAGGAGGGGCATGACACAGCCTGTGACAGGCAGAAATCCACCCACACCATGTTATTTCCACAAAACAGTGTATTGATATTATTTATTTTTAATCTATTCCTAAGGCTGGTTATTTATTTTTTTTTCTCGATCATGTGACCAGCAGCAGAGGGCTAGAAGCTCCTTCTGCCACTGTTTCCCTGCAGGCTGGGAAAGAGCTGGGTCATGTGACAGCTGTATATCAATTAAGAAAAAGGTATTAGATGTTTTACTTTATTAAAACAATTACAGTGCCATCCGGGGATGCACCGAAATTCCGGCGGCCGAAAATAGCCCTACCGGCATTTTGCCAATAGGAAAAAGGGAGCCGATACAGGTGCCAATAGGAAAAAGGGAGCCAATACAGGTGCCAATAATTGTGGCCCTGACTATTTGGTTGGGGTTTTGGGGGGGGCTGTGTTTACTGTAGATTGGGGGACAGCAGAGAAAGGCAGGAGAGGAGGTAATCAGTATATACAGTGAGGGAGCAGTGTATACAGACAGGCTCCCTCACTTGCCGCCACTAAATGTCATTGCCGGTGTTTAAAATGCAATTGCTAGCTTTTTTTTTTTTTTTTTTTTTTTTACTTCACTTTATAGCTCTGAAAAGGAGCTGTCATTCTCCCCGCCGCTGAAGTAAAAAATAGGCCCGGGGGGGGGGGGGGGGGGGGGGGGGGGGGGGGGGGGAGTCACCCAGTGGCCTCCCTGTGTGGCCTCCCTCTTTGTTTACTTTAGCGGCAGGGCAAATGACAACTACCTTCTCGGAGCTATAAAGCGAAGAAAGAAAAAAAAAAAAGCCAGCAATTGCATTTAACAACCAGCAATGACATTTAGCGGCTGCAAGTGAGGGAGCCTGTCTGTATACACTGCAACCTCACTGTATACACTGCCCCTCTCCTGCCCCCTCCTTGCACACACTGCCCCCCTCCCCCTATGAAAAAGGGACCTGACAACTCATGGGGCCACTGGGCAATAGAGGATCATGGGGCCCCTGTGTCCTTGCCCACACTCAAAAAGCCTATAAAGAGAGACAGACACCCATCTTCACAGCTCTGGACATCCCTGGGAATGAGAATTGGGCTCTACATACAACATCAAGCAGCCTGCAGCCTCTCTCAGATCCCACCAGGTTCCTGTGGTGCACGTGTACTTCTTCCATCCCTTCTTCTGGGGGGATGTGTGGCCCCCAGGGAGGGACTGACAACTCATGGGGCCCCCGGGCAATAGGGGATCATGGGGCCCCTGTGCCCAAACTCAGAAAAGCCTACGAAAAAGGTACCAGGGGCATCTCATGGGGCCCCCTACTGACCCCTGGACCCTTGGGCAGTGCCCGAGTTTCCAAATGGTCAGTCTGCCCCTGCCTGTCACTTATATGCTATCACATAGGGGACTATTGGTTCCCTATGTGATAGCAATAAAATCATAAGTTAAAAAAAAAACAAACAATAAAACTGCACATTAAAAGTTAAAAAAAAAAAAAAAAAACAAGCCTCCCCACCCCCGCATACATAGACATTTCAGTTTCGGTTTTCCTGAATTTTTGGTTTCGGCACCAGAATTTTTATTTCGGTATACCACTAGTGCCACCATTTATACACAGAAATAGGAGTAATGTGAATTAAACCGTGTATGTTTAGTATTGCTGTAAGATGAAAGGGCAGAAAGTGAAGGGAAATCTGCCTAGTAAGACACACAAAAACCTCAATATTCGAGAACCCCTTTTTCTTTGGCAAAATTGGTTGCCTTCAAAATCCCAAAGAAATGGGGTTCTCGAAGATTGTGATTTAACAGGGATGGTGGCAATCACAGCCACAAAAAAAAAATTATTTTCTAAGACACAAAAACCTAAGAGCCGTTTTAAAGCCCATCTTCAGGATAAAAATGCTTTTGCTTTGGTTTACTTGGCAGTGTATACTGCAGTCTAGTCACTTCCAGCAAATGGGTTGCTATATTTATAGGCTGTTTGGTGTTGGTTAAATATACATATATTCAGCCTTCTCTGCAGGGAGTTGCTTTTATTTTTGGAGCGTGTATTCTCCCAGAATGGCGAGAGTCTTGTGACAAAGCGAAGCCGCCATAAGTGGAATGCATTCTAGGTATTGTTAACATTGGCATTTTCCGCCTGCTGTTTAACTGCTTCCCAATCACAGAGCCTTGTAGAATGTCAGTGGTGATTTTTATAGAGGAATTCTTTGCTGCTTTTATTTGTCAGCCGAAGCTAATCCTTTAATTTTTTGTTTTTCTGTTCACGCTTTTCGTTAAAGGGTACCTTGTTTTAGCAACAATCACACCTCCCACGCTTGTCAAAAGATGTGCTGCTGGATAGGCAGTTTCACAGTGTAGCTTTCAGGTTTCAGAAACGTTTCTTCCAGGTTTCTGTCCTATACGTGGCTGGAGCATTTAGTTACTTCTGCGGCAGTGTGATTTGTGTAGGATAGACAGAGGTCGAAGTTCAGAACAGGCAGTATGACTGAGGTCCCATCTTCTTCCCGTTCAGTCACTGCACCTGCCGATCTGGGAATGTGAAAACCGTATCAGCCTTGTACAGACCAGCCAGTTGGAAGAATGGTTTCTGGACCATAAAGGTACCAATGTGGCAGAAGTGTCGTGGTGTGATTTGTTGCTTTAAACACAGTGGTTCTCAATCTGTGGGTCGCGACCCCTTCGGGGGTCGAACGACCCTTTCACAGGGGTCCCCTAAGACCATCAGAAAACACATATTTCCGATGTGTAAAGAGCAGCTACTGTGTAGAAAGCAGCTGCTGTGTTGAAAGCAGCAGCAGTATTGGAGGTAAAACGACACTCATGAATTATAATTACTGGGTAAATAATTTTATGGTTGGGGGTCACCACAACATGAGGAACTGTATTAAAGGGTCACGGCATTAGGAAGGTTGAGAACCACTGCTTTAACAAGTAGCCCTTTAACCTCCCTAGCGGTCTGATTATGTCAGTATTTTTGTGCTCAAGCGGTACATTTTTTGTGCATGGAAATATGTTGTTTTTTTTATTGTAGGCCTGTAATTTTTAGGAATAACTCACTGAAATCTGTCCGAACAAGAGTCTAGTAAACATCCCGGGTAGGATAAAATTTGAAACACGGAAATCATAAATTATAATTTAATAAATCATAAAAAATAATAAATGTAATTCAATAATGTAATCAAACCAAAAACACTGAAATTTGAAATAGAGCGCCAAGTTCGCACATCGCTGAGCTGAGTCGCAGAATAGTTTTCAGTGTCGGATGAGGAATTTCCCCCACGAATCACTCAATTCTGCAAGTGGTTCTAATTTACTATCGCTGTTCTCTAGCCGGTCTAAAACCACTTTTGACCTAAAGGGACGCTTTTTGGACGCCATGGACATTTCTCAGTTTCCAGACAGAAAGAACAGTAAAAATGCAGGCAGGGCGCCGGACAAAGCACTCGGGACAAAATGTATGTGAAATGGTTTGATACAGGAATGTTATACTATGTGATTTTAGTGTATTTAGTGAATGTCACTTTTCTAAATTTTTAAATTTCCCGCCGGTTCCGTCCCCCGTACGTTCCGACGTCGCAGGTAACGGAAGACGGATGCCGGCATCGGCCGGAGGACATTACAGGGGGCACTGCAGGAGGGACATCGCGGGAGCACAGGACAAGGTAAGTGCAGAAGAGATCCCGGAGCAACGCTGCAGGGTAATCCTGAGTGTAGCTCGGGGTTACTGCTTGTGGTGCTGAAACTTTACCCCGAGCTACACTCAGGAATACCTCCAGGGAGGTTAAAGAAAGCATGGTCAGCAAGTTTTTATAGAAGAGTTTTGTAACTTCTTACCCCCCTGGCGGTATTCCCGAGTGTAGTTCGGGGTAAAGTTTCAGTACCAGAAGCGGTAACCTCGAGCTACACTCGGGAATACACTGCAGCGTTGCTCTGGGATTCCCTCCAGCACTTACCTTGTCCTGCGCTCCCCACGATGTCCCCCCTGCAGCGTCCCCGACCATGTCCTCCAGCCGATGCCAGCATCTGTCTTCCGGGTTCCATTCCCTGTGAGAGTTGGGATGTACGGGAGACGGAACTGGCGGGAATTTCAAAAATGTAAAAATTTGACATTCACTCAATACACTAAAATCACATAGTATTCAATTCCTGTATCAAACCATTTCACATACATTTTGTCCCGAGTGCTTTGTCCGGCGCCCTGCCTACATTTTTACTTTTCTTTCTGCCAGGAAACTGAGAAATGTCCATGGCGTCCAAAAAGCGTCCCTTTAGGTCAGACGCGGTTTTAGACCGGCTAGAGAACAGCGATAGTAAATCAGAACCACTTGCAGAATTGAGTGATAATGATTCGTGGGGGAAATTCGTCATCAGACACTGAAAATGATTGTGACTTTGCTCAGCGATGTGCGAACTTGGCGCTATATTTCAAATTTCAATGTTTTTGGTTTGATTATATTATTGAATTAAAATTATTATTATATTTATTTTTTATGATTATTTATTAGATTATAGTTTATGATTTCGTGTTTCAAATTTTATCATCCCCGGGATGTTTACTAGACTCTTGTTTGGACAGATTTCAGTGAGTTATTCCTAAGAATTACAGGCCTACAATAAAAAAAATACATATTTCCATGCAAAAAAATGTACCGCTTTGAGCACAGAAATACTGACATAATCAGACCGCTAGGAAGGTTAATATTCCATGTGGAGTTCAATCTTCTGCACTGGACCCCCAAAATGTATTTTCTCTCAACTCTTCCCCCCCACCCATTAATCTTGGTAGGCAGTTTGTATGCACATTTCAACCTTCCAAACAGCACAACACTGAACTCAGTGCTATACTCTTGTTTCTATTAGTGGTGCACCGAAATGAAAATTCTGGTGCCGAAAATTAAAAATGCACTTGACCAAAACCGATTTTGGGTAAACCAATTTTTTTTTTTTGTAAAATATGAAAGAGGATGTTACGGCAAGTAAATAGATACCCAACATGTAACGCTTTAAAATTGCGCACACTCGTGGAATGGCGTGAAACTGCGGTACTTAAAAATCTCCATGGGTAATGCTTTAAAAATTCTACTGATTCGCAGTGTAACATTACAGAGGAGGTCTAGTGCGAGAATTATTGCTCTTGCTCTGACGTTCGTGGCGATATCTCACGTGTGTGGTTTGAACACCGTTTAAATATGTGGACCTGGCCTATGTATGTGTTCACGGACGGGAGTACTTGAAACTTTTTTTTTTTTTTTATAATTTATTTAATGGGGTTTTTTTTTTTTTTTTTTTTGCACTGTCCCTTTAAAAAAAAATGAATCACATTTATTCTTCTCACAAGAAATGCATGCATCCCTTGTGATAGAAATAATTAATGACAGGTCCTCTTTATGGAGAGATATGGGCTCAATAAGACCCCACATCTCTCCTCTGCAATGTAAAGCATTGGATCAAAAAAAAAAGCATTGATTTAGTACTTTAAAATAAAAAATGGCCAGAACGGGAAGTGACATCGCTCCGGTCCTCCAAGGGCATAGAGATGAGTAGCGACCATCTTTCCTTCACTCATCTCTATGCCCAGCGCCAGGATTGAAGGTTTCTCAGGTAAGGCTGGCCATACATTATACAATTATCTTCCAATTTTCTGCACAATTTCCTTTAGATTTACCTTCAATTGTGTAGTACAAGGGCCTGCCTAATTGGATACAACTGAAAGTGTTGTTTAGGTTTGTCCTCCTATTATATGGTTTTTGGTAAATCTAAACCAAAAATCTCCAGATAATTGTATAATGTGTGGCCAGCCTAAGGCTGAGAACTAGCGAGGGGCGGGGTTTTTTTTTTGGCACCTGTATCGGTGTTTTTTTTTTCATTTCGGACAGCGGCCAAAAGGGCGTTTTCGGCCACTGAAATTTCGGTGCATCCCTAGTTTCTATCCTTATGTTGTACCGCATATGACAGTGTACTGCTACTAGTGTTAAGGCCAGTATTCTCTACATGAAGGTGAAAAACCTGCAAGCAGCTCCACAAAGCATCCCCTCCCTCTAGCCCCCCTACTTACTTAGCTGAGCCTGATCTCGATCCAGTGATGTACGCAAGAGCAGAGGCTCTCACTGCTGTCTCCCCCCCCCCCCCCCCCCCCCCCATTGGTTCAGACACAACATTGGCTCCTGCTGCTGTCAGTCACAGCCAGTGATGACGGGGGGGGGGGGGGGGGGGGGGGGGTGTTGGGTCGAGCCATGCTGTGTGTGTTTTATGGACTGGACACATAGGTAAGTATAACATGTTTGTTTTTAAAAAATACAAAAATATATCCTTTAAAATTTTTTTAATATGTGCAAATTTTGTTGAACCCTTCTTTCAAAACGTAATAAATGTAACTGAGCCAAAAAATAATAGTAACTGTGTGTAGCCATTGTTTGTCAGCCTGTTTATGTAGAGGTAGGCACAGACACAGCATGGCATCCATTGAAAAGAAAGCAATTGGTAACCCTCACCTTGTAAAACAACCCATTCAGTTTAAAATATAAATAAAAGGTAAAACGTATGTGTTTACTGTAGATATATAAAAAAAATTATATACACCCTTCCCCCCCCCCTTTTTTTTATTTTTAAATTAGTAGTCACTTACCCTCTGTTCTCAGCTGCATAAAAGCTGGGGGAGGAGAAACAGCAGGACACTGATCTTCCCAGCGAAAGGCTGTGCAGGGGTGTCGTGTTAGGACAAGTCCAATCAATGGAGGGGAGCAAGCTGAGTTTCCAGTACATCTAGAGATCTGACCACGCTGTGCTCTCATGCCTAGTGTGGTCAGTTTTCAATAGGAATGCAGAGGGAGCTGCAGAAACACCAGGGATTTCGCTCAAAGGAAGCAATACAAAGAGAACAGGAGACTTTTTCATACAAGAACATGGTACAGCAGGCACAGATCAGGAATATGAACTGATGGGTTTACATATTATTTAAGGCAAGCACAGGCAAAACAATCCTGGTTTCTTTAGAAGATCGGCTAATTTGCCTGTCTGTACTAGAAATGGAGACAAAAAAGGTAGAAAAGAAAGTGTGAACAGTAGCATTGTTGTTGCCCACAAAGACCAATTATTATATTATTATACAGTATTTATAAAGCGCCGATAGTTTGCTCAGCGCTGTACATTATAAAGGGGGACAGAACATGTGACAGAACAATACCAATACAATGCAGAACATGAGGGGATCGAGGGCCCTGCTCTTTGGAGCTTACAATCTAGGAGGGAGGGGATGGTGGTACAGGAGGAGACGGCTGTGGGGGATGGAGTGGTAGGAAGAGTGTAGGAGGTCGGCAAGTTAGCAGGGGGTGGGGTAGGCTTCCCTGAAGAGATGGGTTTTCAGGGTGCGCCTAAAGGAGAGGAGAGTAGGTGATAATCTGATGGGTTGGGGCAGGGAGTTCCAGAGGATGGGTGACACCCTGGAGAAATCCTGGAGGCGGGCATGGGAGGAGGAGACCAGGGAACTAGAGAGAAGGAGGTCTTGTGAGGAGCGGAGTGTGCGGATGAGGATCATTCTTTTAATTTTTGGTAAAATGGAGAGATGAATGTGATTGGTCGGCATGTGCAACAATTCTTTGTTTTCTACAGTTTTTTTGCCAGATAAGCTCTTGCCTTGTTATCTGGTAATATGTGAAAGATTAAACAGATGTGGTTATTCCCAGAAAAGTCTCCTCTGAGTATATCTAGGCTAGGAGGAAAAGGCTTGAAATATCCCTACGCCTTCTGTACATGAAAGGGAAAGCTTTCTTTACTTCTTACATCAACCAGTCAGAGGCCTCTTCATGTTCTATTCTAGTGATAGACAGATGGGGTTTGATTGGTTTTGTGGGCAGGAGTGACACATCTATAAAATCTTGAGTGTGGTGCATTCTTCTACTCTTTGACAAAAGCCGCTGAAAGAGTTTAGAGGACACAATCCCGCCACCGGCAGGACAAACTGTCTGTTAGGAGGTTGTGGAGCACGGTGCCAGGGATCAAAATAATAGCTGGATTTTTTGTTTTCTTCTGACAGTCAGTGATGTAAGAATCCTCTGTTGGACGTGAGATTGGCACCCAACTGTCATTTTAACCACTTCCTGTCCGGACACTTTTACCCCCTTCCTGTCCAGGGCAATTTTCAGCTTTCAGCGCTATCACACTTTGAATGACAATTGTGCGGTCATGCAACACTGTACCCATATTAATTTTTTAGCATTTTTTTTTAGACAGATAAAGCTTTATTTTGGTGGTATTTATTCACCGCTGGGAATTTTTTTTTTTTTTGCTATGTAAATGAAAAAGTCCAAAAATTTTGAAAAAAAGTGTTTTTTTTAATAAAATTTTGCAAATAAATAATATTTCATCATAAATCTTGGCCAAAATTTATTCCGTTATCTTTTTAGTAAAAAAAAAATCCAAATTAGTTTATAACCAAAAATTATAATTTTTAAACTTTTTTTTTTTTTACATTTTTATTTTATTTTTTTATATTATTTTTTATTTTTTTTTTTACATACTGTCACCCTAGCAGTACAATGTCATGGTGACACTGTACTACTTGTGGGGGGTGATGAAGAATTTTTTTTTTTTTTTTACACTGATTGCTTTTACACCCATATAGGATGTAAAAGCAATCATTTCTCTTTCTCTGTCTGCATTCTTGCAGCCATTGAGACGTACTAAGTGAGCTGTGATTGGTCACAGCTTGTCACATGGTACAAGGCTGTTGTGAATAGCCTTGTACCATGTGACCTCTGATCATTCACAGATTTCACACGTAGTAAGCAATGATGTCACAAGTGACATCTTGCTTACTACTTTGCATGTGATCACTGATTGGCCAATCAGTGATCACATGATCGGGACCTCGTACAGAGGTCCCGTTCGACGATCGGTGTTTCACTGTGTCCGGAGGACACAGCGGGCACCGGATCGCGGTGCTGCGTGCTCCCAGGGAGTGCGCACAAGCAGGGTGCGGGGAGGCCGTTTATAAATGGCCACCCGACCCTGCACTGCCACCGTCCGGCCGTTTATATGCAACAGCCGGTCGGGAAGTGGTTAATAGCTTTGGGTACCTTAACCTCTATAGGAGAAATGAAAGCTGGAATCTTATTGGCTAGCCTCCTGTCATTGTATTGCCCAGTTAATTGAACCCATTGGCATCCATTCTAAATATCAAGTTATGAATCAGTGCTTGTGTTACATATACATTGTGGAAAGACTGTTTAGTAACAAAGAGCTGACTCACATTCATGGCAGCATCATGGAGCTTTACATCGGTCTGAGGAAAAGCAAAAATGTTTTGTGCCAACTCTAAACAGAAAGCACAGAGGCAGAGCTCTCAACACTGCTCAGTGATGAAAGTGAATGTAAATTGTATTGGAACTGTAATGTCTGCCTTCATTTTGTAAAGCGCTGCGCAAACTATTGGCGCTATATAAATCCTGTATAAATAATAATAAAGGGTTTTGCTTTTTCTTTTGTTGTTTTTTTTTTACTTTTAATAATAAACATGTTATACTTACCTGCCGTGTGCAGTGGTTTTTCACAGGGCAGCCCCGATCTTTCTCTTTTGGGGTCCTCACCAGCGCTCCTGTCTCCTCCTGCCTTTGGAGTACCCCTGTAATACTCCATTTGCTATGGGGGCACTTGTGCGTCTATTGACACACACAGTGCAGCTCTGCCCTGCCCTCTGCTCCCTCGTCACTGGATTTGATTGATTTGCTATTAGCTCCCACTGCTAATGGCTCTCACTGAGTCCAGTGAGGAGGGGGAGAGAGAGCTGTTCTGCTGCTCTCGGGTACGGCACTGTATTGAGATCGGGGTCCGGTAAGTATAAGGGGACTGCTGGGGAGTTGCACACAGAAGGTTTTTTTTAACCTTCATGCAGAGAATGCATGACGATATAAAACCTTTAGCCTTTACAGCCACTTGAAACTCGCAGCTAACTATTCAGCATGGCTCTGCTTAAAGTGGTTCTAAAACCTTAAAGCGGAGCTCCACCCAAAAGGGGAAGTTCCGCTGTAAGGACTGCTTCCCCTTAAGGATTGGCACCTTTGGGGACAGGTACCCACTCCCACTTCCGGTCCGATTGCTGCGGCGATTGGAAACAGAAGGTGTCCTCCCTGTAGTTTTTTGGGACACACGACAGGTCCCAGAAAACTACAGGACCATTCACAAAGCGCAGCTCTACTCACGCATGCGCAGTGGGTACCTGGCTGTGAAGCCGCAAGCTGTCACAGCCGGGTGCCCACACTGAAGATGCCGGCCTCCTGGAATACAGGACGGCTGGTGAAACGGGCTGCGGGGGACACACCACGGGAGCCGAGGGACAGGTAAGTGGCTGTTTTTTAAAAGTCAGCAGCTGCAGTTTTTGTAGCTGCTGACTTTTTTATTTTTTGACAGGGTGAGTGGAACTCCGCTTTAAGGTTTTTCACTTTACTGCATTCTATGCATTAAGGTACAAAGCATTCGGTGCTGAAGAATCCCCCCTACCCCCTGATTGGTTGCAATGCACAGCTGCTCCAGTTTTAATAAGTTTCCCTTTCTGTGTTTTTCTTATGACAGGTTTGCTTTTAGTCTGTTTTGTATCAGGGTCTGATCTGATGTGGCAGATTTGAGTACCCAATGTGACATTTAAGCAGCACATAGATGTAGTTTTCTTTACTTTGCCACAGGCGGACGGAAAGAAATTCGTTCGATTTCCCTCATCAGCACAGTCCGTGTTAAGGGGGGAATCCCTCCTGCAGTGCTATCGGTGGGGAACCTTCCCTGTTGGCAGAACACAGTGATCACTGCCAGCTGCTATAGCCATTGGTCGTGTTCATGTATAAAATATCCAGACAGGCTGCTTGTACAGAACTCGATTTATGGATCCACTTCAGCACAACCAGCCTACCCATAGATGGATCGAATCTTGGCCAGCCCCTGCAGAACCGGCTGTGATTTGATCCATCTATGGCCGGCTTTAGTTGCTATCACACTGTTAATAGCTTCTCAAGGAGGTAGTGGGAACTTCAGACCTTTGATAACTGTCGTACACTGAGATTTTTTAGTTTGACTAGCAGCACAGGTCCTTCATTTTTGTATAGAGGGGAGGAAATGGCTGTTTTGCCACATGTGTTCCATATTCACACAGACGGTCATGGCACTTCCTGGTTGCCTGGAAATACATTCTGTATCCCATAGACGTCAGACAAGTAGGCGGAAGCAAGCAGACGGATGGCTTGTTTGGTATCTGTGAGCTCAGGCAGATCACTTCCAACTGACTGCTCTCAGGGAAATGTTTCAGCACAACTGCCTTCTAAGGCTTGGTTCACATCTGTGTGGGTGGTGCCGCTGCGGATCCGCACGAAAATCCATGCAACCGCAACACCCACACAGAGGAATGCGGACCTGCAGGCGGGTGCCATTAGTTCTAATAGCACGCTGCCTGCACTGGAAAACGCAACCGTGCTGGGAACTGAGGTTCCCAAGCGGGCTGTGTTTTCTAAAGTGCAGGGACTTCTTCCCTGCAGGGTACGGGAGTCCATTCAAATGAATGGGCTCTTGTGCCTGCGCAAAACGTGGCCCGCATGGCCGCAGATATGTGAACCGGGGGTAAGGCTGCTTTCACACTGATCCGTTTTTCTTCCGCTTTTTGCATTAAAGCGGAGTTCCACTCACTCTGTAAAAAAATAAGTCAGCAGCTACAAAAACTGTAGCTGCTGACTTTTAAAAAGATTTCCGAGTGTAGCTCGGGGTAAAGTTTCAGTACCTTAAGCGGTAACCCCGATCTACACTCGGGCTTACCATGCGGTGCTGCTCCGGGATCTGTTCTTCACTTACCTTGTCCTGCGCTCCCGCGATGTCCCTCCTGCAGTGTCCCCTGTAATGTCCTCCTGCGGATGCCGTCATGTGTCTTCTGGGTTTTGTCCCCTGTGAGTGTCAGGACGTACGGGGACGGAACTGGCGGGAAATTTGAAAATGACAAAAAGTGACATTCACTAAATTCACTAAAATCACATAGTATAACATTCCTGTATCAAACCATTTCACATACATTTTGTCCCGAGTGCTTTGTCCGGCGCCCTGCCTGCATTTTTACTGTTCTTTCTGCCTGGAAACTGAGAAACGTCCATGGCGTCCAAAAAGCGTCCCTTTAGGTCAAAAGAAATCAGAACCACTTGCAGAATTGAGTGATAATGATTCCTGGGGGAAATTCCTCATCGGACACTGAAAACGATTCTGCGATTAACTCAGCGATGTGCGAACTTGGCGCTCTGTTTCAAATTTCAGTGTTTTTGGTTTGATTATATTATTGAATTAAATCTATTATTATTATAATATTATTATTTTTTATGATTATTTATTAAATTATAATTTATGATTTCATGTTTAAAATTCTAACATACCCGGGATGTTTACTAGACTCTTGTTCGGACAGATTTCAGTGAGTTATTCCTAAAAATTACAGGCCTACAATAAAAAAAATACATATTTCCATGCAAAAAAATGTACCGCTTTGAGCACAGAAATATGGACATAATCAGACCACTAGGGAGGTTAATAGGGAGCGGGGGACCAATCTTTAAAGCGGAACTTCCCCTTTTGGGTAGAACTCCACTTAAAAAAAAAAAAAAAAAAAAAAAAAAAATGTAATTCTATGGAACTTTTTACACTGACTGATCCCTTGCAGATTTGGTGCATTTAGTAAAATCCCGCTTGCTGCATTTTTGGTGCAGATTTGAAGCGGTTAAGAACTCACCAAAACTGCTCCTCCTCATTGAATGCATGGAAAACGCACCACGGTTGCGTTTTCAATGCGGTTTTTGAGACATGTCCGGTGAAAAATTCACTGCAAACGCCGTAAAAACGTGTATGGAGTTTTTTTTACTGCGTTTATGTTTTAGATCATTGTGGAAGTAGCCCAAAGCTGCGTGAGCACCTTTACGTCATAACATTCATGGGCAGCACAGTGGCTAAATGGTTAGCACTTCCGCCTGGCAGTGCTAGGGTCGTTGGTTCGGATCCCAACCCCAGCACCACCTGCCTGGAGTTTGCATGTTCTCTGTGTGCCTGCGTGGGTTTCCTCCGGGTACTCCGGTTTCCTCCCACACTCCAAAGACATGCTGGTAGGTTAATTGGCTCCTGTCTAAATTGTCCCTAGTATGTGTATGTATGAATGTGAGTTAGGGACCTTAGATCGTACGCCCCTTGAGGGTTAGGGACCTTAGATCGTACGCCCCTTGAGGGTTAGGGACCTTAGATCGTACGCCCCTTGAGGGTTAGGGACCTTAGATTGTACACCCCTTGAGGGTTAGGGAGCTTAGATTGTACGCCCCTTGAGGGTTAGGGACCTTAGATTGTACGCCCCTTGAGGGTTAGGGACCTTAGATTGTACGCCCCTTGAGGGTTAGGGACCTTAGATTGTACGCCCCTTGAGGGTTAGGGACTGATGTGAATATACAATATATATATGTAAACCTACGTGGGTTTCCTACGGGTACTCCGGTTTCCTCCCACACTCCAAAGACATGCTGGTAGGTGGATTGTCTCCTGTCTAAATTGGCCCTAGTATGTGTATGTATGAATGTAAGTTAGGGACCTTAGATTGTACGCCCCTTGAGGGTTAGGGACCTTAGATTGTACACCCCTTGAGGGTTAGGGACCTTAGATTGTACACCCCTTGAGGGTTAGGGACCTTAGATTGTACGCCCCTTGAGGGTTAGGGACTGATGTGAATGTACAATATATATATATATATGTGTGTAAAGCGCTGCGTAAATTGATGGTGCTATATAAGTACCTGAAATATTATTATTATTATTATTATACAGGATTTATGGCGCCAACAGTTTGCTCAGCGCCTTACAATATAAGGGAGACAGTACAATTGCAATACATTTCAGTACAGAAGGAATAGGAGGGCCCGGATCATGGAGCTTACAATCTAAATAGATAAATATGGACACTCATGTCTACATGAATGCAGTGCGGATCCTTTAGAGAAGGTTACCTGAAATCACTACTGTATTACTCTTCCATGTCATGTTGACCCAAGCTGGGGAACTCGGTCTTATAATAGATATATTGTCCATTTGTATTGTTTTATGACCCTCGCTGGTTGCATCCAGTTGCATTGCATGGCAGCGGTGTAGTCTGTAGCCCCTTCCACCCTATTGCTGTTCAGTTCATGTATTTGAGCCCCGCAGCATTGTGCTGCTGTAAGTGATCCGGTTCACTGGATTTCTCTCGCTGGGATTGATTGCTTGTTTAAAAGCCACGCAGTTAAATGAGGAGTGCTATTTCAGTCGAGTCATTCTTCTCTGAGCCCCGGCCGCCCCCTGCCTCAGTGGCTCTTTTGAAATTGGCCTCCGATGTGTGATTTTGGAAGGCTTTAGGCCATTGTGTGGCCCTGTCTGCCCATCTCGGTCTGGTTTGGTATTACCGTCCTAGCTGCCACAGACCTCTTGGTACAACAAAGCTCTCTTATTGCCGTTTCACAATCCATCCCAGGGTGTACGTGATTGACTGCTCTACTCCCTGCAATGTTATGACAGTTTTAATCCCACAAATCACTCCAGTTGTATGTTGTCCCGGGGATTGTAAATTAAAGCTGAACTCGAGGCACAGAGATTCACGGATGCCTGGAAAGCTTGTACTCTGCTTGCCTCCACAATACCATTTCATTCTCTGAGCAGTGCCTTGTCTTTTGTAATCTTTGAATTTTGTAGCTGTAAAAAAAGCCTTGTTACCTCTATATTCCAAGTGACACTGTGGGGTTTATTTACTAAAACCGGAGAGAGTGCAAAATCAGGCTCACTTCTGTATAGAAACCAATCAGCTTCCAGGTTTTATTGCCAAAGCTTAATTGAACAAGCCGATTGGTTTCTATGCAGAAGTGTGCCAGATTTTGCTCTCTCCAGCTTTAGTAAATAATCCCCTATTTGTCCACAGATGCTTAAAGTGGAACTACACTGTATCTGAGCTCCACAAATCAAAGTGCTGTTTAATTTTTAATATTCAAATCAAATCCACCACCCCATGCATGTCTCCACGCTTTATTGTGCAGAGAAATCTTAGAAATATGCCCTCCTAGTGTTTCTGGCCACGGCACCACCTGCCTGGAGTTTGCATGTTCTCCCTGCGCCTGTGTGGGTTTCCTCCGGGTACTCCGGTTTCCTCCCACATTCCAAAGACATGCTGGTAGGTTAATTGTCTCCTGTCTAAATTGTCCCTAGTATGTGTATGTATGAATGTAAGTTAGGGACCTTAGATTGTACACCCCTTGAGGGTTAGATACTGATGTGAATTTACAATTTGTATGTGTGTATATATGTACGTGTGTGTGTGTGTGTATTTATATGTGTGTGTGTGTGTGTATATGTGTGTGTGTGTAGATAGATATAGATAGAGTGTGTATGTATGTGTGTGTGTATATATGTATGTGTGTGTATGTATATGTGTGTGTGTGTAGATAGATATATATAGTGTGTGTATGTATGTGTGTGTGTGTGTATATATATATATATGTGTGTGTGGTGTGTAGTATGTGTGTATATTATGTATGTGTATGTACGTGTGTGCGTGTGTGTGTGTATTTATATATTATATATATGTATGTGTGTGTGGATAGATATAGATAGAGTGTGTATATATATGTGTGTGTGTGTGTAGATATAGATAGTATGTGTGTGTATTTATGTATGTGTATGTACGTGTGTGTGTGTGTATATATATTATATTATATATATATGTATGTATGTATGTATGTGTGTGTGGATAGATATAGTAGTATGTGTGTGTGTATGTATGTGTGTGTGTGTATGTGTGTGTGTGTATTTATATATGTGTGTGTGTGTGTAGATAGATATAGAGTGTGTATGTATGTATGTGTGTGTAGATATAGATAGTATGTGTGTGTATATATGTACGTGTGTGTGTGTGTGTGTGTGTGTGTGTATTTATATATGTCTGTGTGTGTGTGTGTAGATAGATATAGAGTGTGTATGTATGTACAGTATGTGTATGTGTGGATAGATATAGATAGTATGTGTGTGTATATATGTACACACACACACACACATAAAGCGCTGCGTAAATGGAGGGCACTAAGTACCTGTAATAATAAAATAAATAAATGGCCATCTTGAGTAACCCTTGGTTCACATCTGTGTGGGTGGTGCTGTGGCGGATCCGCACGAAAATCCGTGCAGCCGCACCACCCTCACAGAGAAATGCAGACCCGCAGGCGGGGTGCCATTAGTTCTAATGGCACGCTGCCCGCACTGGAAAACGCAACCGTACTGAGAAGCGAGGTTCCTGTGGGGGCTGCGTTTGCTAAAGAAGTGCAGGGACTTTTTCTCTGCGTGTCACGGGGCACGGGAGTCCATTCAAATGAATGGGCTCCCGTGCCCATGGAAAACGCGGCCCGCACGGCCGCATAGATGTGAACCGGGGGTAAGGGCAGATGATTAATGTAGCGATTTACTTTCTGGAATCCATCTGTCCTTAGCACATATTTTCAGACAGAAGGGTGTACGTAGCTGAGAAAATCCCTCCTCCTCTCCAGAAGATTCCTGGGATATATGACATTATATCCTAGGCTTGGAAATGAGGAAGTAACTAAAGAAATGTAAAAAAAAAAAAAGTTTAAAATAGGTAAATATGATATACTTTCCTAAATATTTACTGATGCAAGCAGCATAAGGATTCAGAATAGCCAACGTTGATTGTGAGAGTGAAGTTCCTCTTTAAGCACAATCTGTGTTGTCACCTTTCCCCTCCTCTGCACTGTACTGTACCTGCTCAAGCCGCTATGAGGTATAAGATTTTTTTTCCAAATTCCTGTTATTTATTACTGATAAAACTATGGGGTCTACTTGACCAAAATAGATGCTTGGGGTTAGACTTTACTACTCAAGGCATCAAGGCTTTATCTGAGTTGTGTTTATGTTGTAGCAGTCATCATTGGGCTTACACAAGAGTGGGAATATTCACTCTTATAATATCATATTTGTGCAGCCTGTATAACTGCGGTGCCTCCAAAGATTAGGAGAAAC